GGGGGGGGGGGGGGGGGGGGGGACTGCCCAGCCGGCGCAGAACAGGGGGCGGCAGAGCACTGTGCTTTTTTCGATGGCCAGCGCAGCTGTCAATCCACGTCTCCACCGACGTCCTTTGGTGCGGCCATCAGTTTGCCTGGGCGATAGCTCTGCAGAGATGGACATGGTGAACCGACTATCCCTGGAGACAAAAACCACAGGGCTTTGTTGAATCTTGATCTGACCAGCTTGACTCAGACAGGTGACTCATGAGCTGTTGCATCACCGTCCTGTGCGGCCACCAGAACTCAGCACGAATGGCGATACCATGCAAGCATCTTCGCATCACAACATCCGAGGGACTGCTGACGCTTCAGGATGCCCACAAAGTCGGGATTTCTGATGAGCTCCTCCTCAAGAGAATAGGTGAATAGGTACGGCATGCCAGCAGTTGGTAGCATGTTCTCAGCAGACATTGCAGTCCTGCTTCATGACGGCAGCGGTTTCGACCTCATCGGCGGCCACTCCGTGAGCCTTCTCCACTTTAGCATGCACCAGGGCCTGCAGCAGGGCTTGTGAAACATGCGATGTTCGGCTGAAGCTGAGGCCCGCCTTCAGGGCGACGGTGGCCGCCTTGAAATCCTGGAACTGAGCCCCAATCGAACTCAAAAGACACAGAAACTCTCAAGTCCTTGGATTCCACGTCTGGCTCGCTCAGGAAGCTTGCAACCAGCTTCTCCAGCTCCACAAGCGCAAACTCCTGGAAAAACGCGACGTGCCCAAAGACACCGCTTTCAGTGGATTTCAGCCGCCTTCATCGCGAGAATCTTCGCGACATCCAGGTCCGCACCGCCGGGCTTCATGTCCGCGGGGTGTTGTCCGGATAGCCGCACCATTGACTCCATCACCCAAGGGTCGTTCTGCTGCTCCGCCACCTGCTACCAGGTGCCGCGTTTACCTGCCTCACATGGGCTTTTAGCTCCGAATTCGAAACGTGCGATTTTTTCACTCCATTTCTCGTCGACTCTCTGGCTCTTCTCTGCTGCCAAGGTGCCATCGCTTCAAACTCTTGGATACTAAGCCCTTGCTTCTCCAGCGGGTCGACTAGATCGCAGGCTTCCACGCGCTGGTACGCTTCAGCTATGGAGACTTCCTGTCGGCAAACAGTGCTCGGGATTCTACCTGTTCCGGCTAAACAAAGAGCCAAAGGGGACCCGACAGAACTGGCCACGTGCTCCCTGTCTCTGCCTTGCCGGACAGCTGCTCTCGGACGAGCTCCTGAGGTCTGCTATCGATGAATCTTCAAAAGCGGGGGTTGATCGGGAAATGGGAGAAATCCATGAGTTTGACGACCAAAAAACTTCGTAATGGATGCAAGCATGTTTTCAGGCTGCAAATCATTCTGAGTCTACGGCATGTCTGCCCGAATCAGTTCCTCGCCACTACTGCTTCGTGGACTCTGTGACGGCATTTTCTCAATTCGGGCTGCGCACACAGACTTCCATACGAACGATGAGACAGTCAACTGACCGTGAAGAAGCCTCTACACACATCTACGCTGATGTTGCTCCACTTGCGAGGGTTTTTCGTTGCAGAGCTCGAGCAAGCAGCAAGGCAGATTCAACCTCATAGCCCTTCACGCCCGCGAAACAGCCGAGTACAAAGAGAGGCGGACAAACGAATTCTGAACGTCCCTGAGACTCCACCAAGGAACCTCCACCACCCGCTTTGCCCGCTGCTCCACGTCCAGCAGCTGAGTTAGCACCTCCTTCAGCAGCGACTTCGGATCCTGCGGGCCCGGCACAAGACAAAATGGGATTGGACCAGAACGAGGCCCTTGGCTTTCCTTGTCCGCAACGGCGCCATTCTCTTCCTCCGCTTCATCCCTGTGACATGTCTTTCTCAGAGTTTGCTCGTGCTTGCCCTCATGGAGACAAGCTCTGCCTCAACAGCAAGTAGAGCACCGCAAGCATGAACAGACTACCCGCCGCAAGGATTGCAGGCTTCAGATCACTCATCGCGGGCATCTGTCCTGGAAGCATGTCAGCTGCTTTCAGCGCGAATGTGGTTAAGCCCTGCGGCACTGCGTCCCCAGAGTCGCCGATTCAGACGAATTCAGAATGAAAGGTGCAGAAGGATGCAGATATGGAATCACTTGCTTCTACATGAAGACACAGAGAGTCGAAGCTTCAGGACACCCCACGTCTCGATTCATGCGCGCACCCCGGCGTTTGGTTCGAGGCCTCCTCAACTGGCCACCGCAGCTCGGCCAGTAAGAAGGGGCAGAAACCCTGTCGGATCTCGTAGGAAATCCGCTAAATCGCTTTACAGCTGGGCTCTGACATCGACCTTGCATACATCTTCATCTACAACTGCATGGCAAGTCGGAGGATTATCTTGTCAGTCTTCAACTTTGGGATCGGTATCTAAGTTGTACGCTGGCTGATGGAACTTCGCCGGTTTCCATTCTTGGCAAGAACCAAGCCAGCAGCTGCGGCAACTTCGCGAGTTTAGTCAATCCTTACAGCTGATCCCCTGCTGCAGCAGCGCGGATAGGTGGCGCGTTTTCGAGCTTAAAGCAAGACACAAATCTTCATGAAGCTAAACTGCCACGAAGACCTTCTCTCGCGTATTAAAAAGGTATGGTAGTTGCTGTCCCTGTCGCTGCAGTGGATCCAGATGTCAAGCCACAACCCTGCAAGAGCAACTAGTTACTAGTTTGTACCGTTTGGGCCCATACATGCTGGACCTTGATACTGCTGTCGACTGGAACGAGCGTGTCATTACCTTCCGAGTGTCACCACGCACCAAGGCTGGAGACGACGAGTCTTGGATGCTATCAGTATCTTGTAATTCCATTGTAATGCTTCCATGTCCGGAGCTGCCAACAGTCTTGGTGGCTGCTCAGATGGAGAAGACTGTCTGCAACTTAAGCAGATCGGAAAACTAGACTTATGCGGCCAGCAACTCCTTCTCGGCAGAGGAGTACCTGGTTGAAATGCTGTCCACTGTCGTTTCTTGCAAGCTTGGAGAGGTCAGTCAAGATTCGAAGACCGAAAACCTTGTATGGTTCAGACCTTCTTCGTCGAGGGACTCTGCCCTCGTTTCGGCGCACTCCTCTGATGCTCCACGGTATGTCTGCGATTCCTCTACGAAATACAGGACGTTCTCCTGAGAACTCAAAACGAAGAGATCGACGGCTGACATCAGAAGTGTCTTCTGGCCTCAGGAGTACCCTGAAGGACTCCGTGCCCGAGGTTCAGGATGTGCCTAGCATGGAGGCTTCTCGAAAGACTTAGCACTCTGCCGCGCATTTTATCTACATCTCCAGCCTTCCAGGGCCTCCCACTGCATCGATCGACTTTCGAACTGCCTGAGCTTCCGGGCGAGGCGGAACAGATGAAGCGGACAGGCTCATGGCCTCTCGGACTTCCGACTCGCTGCCGTATCGCAGGATGTAGGGATCAACCTTGCAAGACAATGGCATGAGCCGGGCGACAAGCTTGAAGACAGAAGCGCGCGAACAACCTGTGCACAACCGGTCAGTTGCCGTCCGAGGTTAGCAACGGCGGGAACAGCCCACAAGCCAGAGATTGTCTTGATTAAGCCAGGGCTGAGAAATGCCAAGCGGAGGGTCAGCACCAGGGAGAGCACGAGAATCAGCATGGGCCGCATGGGCATCGCAGCGGCAGTGGCAGCGGCACCAGCACCAGCACCAGCACCAGCACCATCAAGAAAGATGTACAGAGCTAGAGGACATCTCCACACATGAACTGCGGTAAGTCTGGCACATTCCCTTGCAGGATGAGCCCTGTGCCGTCTACCTCAGCGCGGTCCAAGGGGCAAAGACAAACTGAAGGCTACTGAGCCTTCCCGTCATTTGCCTAGTAAATGAATAGTAAGGCAGATAAGACACGATCAGCTTCAGGCTTAAAGACACGCAGCGGACAGGAGTCTCTATCGATGCAGCGAGGTGCGATCTTTGCAGCCTCCTCCAAGCGCATGTGCCTTTAGCATCCGCATGCACCGTGTAAGCTTTGCAAGCCACCGCGATTCCTTCCACTCGGATGCTGTCCAGCGGCCCGTCAACACCAAGGACATCTATGTGTTCAGCCAGTTCTGTGACCTGAGCAAGGCTGTACGACATGAAACAACCAGATCAGCCTGTTCAGGACTTGCCGTGATCTCGCCTGATCCTGCAAGAAGGATGAGCCCCCGTTGGCGAAGTAGATAATCGGCACATCCGGACAAGCCTTGCGATTGGCGGCATTGGCACAGGCCATGATCATCAAGCTGTGCAGCCCATGTTGCCTGCCGCAAAGTAGCCGCCACCTGTACGGCTGGAAACACTGCTGACTCTGCTCCAAGCATCCAACGGACGGAGAAGCGACGACGAGCCTGTTTCACACAGGGCGCAGCAAAACGTCTCCAGAGCTCGGGTGTGAGGCAATGGGCCCACGACCTATCAGCAACGACACACCGGCAATCCGAGCAGAGCAAGTGTTTGGATAAGTCTGAGCAGTTCGCTCAAAGATCTGGATGCACTGCGCCCCACTCTCCACCTTCAAAGCTACATCCTTCAGTCCCTCTGATCTTCAAATGTGTTCCACTCCCACCTGATAGATGGCATAGTTGCTGATCGTTACGGTCATCCGGCGGAGGAATTCGTCCACAACCTGCCAAACAGTGTGATTTGCATGGTAGTCGATGAAATCTTGCAAAACCCAGTCTCACTAGCACACTCCCGGCCACGCTCTTTTTCTGCTGCTTCTGCAAACAGCTCTAGTAGCTAAAGACGTAGATCACCAGGTCACCCCAGACAAGTTGAGCTCTGACAGGAGGGCCGATACTCACACCCCCCAGGTGTTTCCCCAAGACCGTTCCCCAACTCTGTCGGGGAAGCGTGCGGTTGTAATCCCTGTCCAGCTGAAAAGTGATGCATGAGGCCATGCTGAAATCATCATCGTTGTAGCATGCCCAGGCAGCCGACTCGATGTACTTAATCGCTTCGTCCGAGATCCCTTTTGTAGAGACCCAGCGCGGACGCCCCTCTGGATGCGGCTTGTTTGCCATCTTCTCCTGCAACTCCGCGAGGTTTGGCCAAGAGATGCCTTCACGAATGTCATTGTCTGAGCTCTTGTGGTCACGCAGCGCTGAGCAGCTTGATAACAGGAGCATCGCCACGAGGATATGCATGGCGCCAAGAAGTATGAAGCTTTGCTCAAGTACGCAGACGACGGGCTACCCAACTCATAACCGCTATGGGACAGAACGGCTGCGGATGGAGGCGGATTCAAACATGACCGTGCCGAATATGGCAGGCCTGGAGCCAGAGGTGCAGAGGGAAGGCATTGGGGCAGCATTGCAGAATACTCTCTCTGCGTCATCCTTTGATTCAAAACAGCAGCAACAACAACAACAACAGCAACAGCAACAGCAACAGCAACAGCAACAGCAACAGCAACAGCAACAGCAACAGCAACAGCAACAGCAACAGCAGCAGAGAAAGACGAAACTCTGTTGTCTCCCCCAGCCCATAAAGACCTGCGGTTGCGGCGGCAAGGCTTTGTCACAGCTAGCTCCATGCCGTGGTCCTTTCTTGGAGCCTTCTCAACTCCAAAACCCCTGCAAAGAAATACGAGCAGATCAATGTGTTGCTGAGTCATGAAGGAACTCACAACGAATCGCCATATTCACTGGATGCATGAGGCAACCCCCAACACTGCACTTGAGAAGAGGCCACAAAAGCTTGCGGCAGCGCGGATGCAAGCACATATGTATTCCCATGAGGCTTCGACCTGCAAGATGATAGCGTTCTTCTGCTCTACACTGGCCCGCATACAGACACGCCCATGGCCCTTGTCGTACCGTACGTACGAGTAGTAAGACTAGTATCTTGACCGACCTCATTGACTTCCGGAATGTCCCTGCATAAGCAATAACTCGG